TAAATCCTCTCCCCACTTATAAGGCGGGAAAAAAAGACCTCCAAAGTATTTATCTTTGTATTCAGCAATTACTTAGCCTACCTGTATCCGCTGCGATTTCAGAGAAGGGTTTAATTTGTCCTTCAGGCATTTAGCTGATGCTTTTACGCTGAGCAACTGATCCTCGTCCATAATCCTGACGTTCCAGCCCACAACATATGGCCGACACACACTTGTCACATTCATTTCCAAACAATCACGTCAGGTTCGCAGCAGGTTCAAAATTACCACACCTGGAAACAAACCATCGTGTTGTATTTTGTCTTCACGATGCAGTGTGATTCGATTATTAAACTATTTTTACCTCTTTATTTAATTTACGCTCTCGCATTTGCCAGCATGAATATCTGTGGAAACATCAGTGCACATAAAAAAATAAAAAAATAAAGCAGGACGTCAGCCGAGCACCTCAGCATCAGTCTGACATAACTTGATATAAGCCGGTGCAACAGACACAGTGCCGGTGTCATTGTAAATCTGTCTGTGTTGGCTTGGTTTGATCAAGATGTTATTCCTTTGTGAGGACCTAACGGCATGAAAGGCCTGGTGTTCTCTGCATGAATCATTTAGATGAAAGCCCGAGGAGGAGGGGGGAAAGGAGCACGAGGCACCTGATGTCAACTTTAATTAGAATCCAGTTTGGTTCGCGTTACCTTGACTTTGAAATCCCAGAATCCTGCAGGGGCAGTGGAGACAGTTCTCGGTCGCAGGATGTGATTAGACTGGGTAATCTTGCTGATTGCCTAATGCCACATAACAACTTTTACCTTGGTTAATGCTGTGAGTAAAATTGTCTGTGCACAACTGACAGGACTGCTCCTGTGAATATCCGTGCTCTTACGTAGTGCTCGTAAAATGACTTCTGAAGCATTGATCTGCTCTCAAGCACATAATTCTCATTGTGTGAGGGGGGTTATGTCTTGATGGGACTTATTTCACACTCAACACCTTATCATCGTATCCTCTTGCTTCAAGTTGCACCTTGATATTCATGGAAACAGTGCAGCGACTTCCAAGTGCGGAGACGGGAGCATGAGTAGACTGTCTGAGTGGTTTGAATGAAATGTGTCTTCAGAACAAACCCACGGGAGCCTCAATTCCCAGGACGTCCCTGGTGCGTCATAAAAAGAAGTCAGGGCACATCACCATCACTTGTGTCTTATTTCTCACTGTTCTGCAGCCGGATGTGAGACATCAGAGCCTCCAGCCGCAGCCTGAAGAGCCACTACAAAGACTGACAGAAAATGGGATGCTGCTTTCTTCCATCCTGCACACATTATGCTCATTTAGAAATCCCATGTTGGACAGGGAACATGTTAGCTAGTTCAAATCGTGGTAGCCTGAAGCAAATAAACTAAGACCTAAACAGCATTTCCATGTATTCACTCAGCGCTCACTGCTGCCTCAGATGAACGATGCAATTTCGGTGGATGATGACGCCGTGCTGTTACTTAGCATCTGTGTTTGCGCCGCACAATCCACAACACAGATGGAGCCCAGCAGACAACACGGACAAGGGCAGAAACACTGAATATTAAACGATTCATTGACAATCCAGTGCTAATTTGACCACACCTGGATTTACAGAGCAAAGTCATTCGTCTCATTAAATCTAAACATGGTTGTCTCTCCTCGTTAAAGATCTGAACGGAGTCTAATTCACTCTCTGGATGGTAACGAATGGGCTCGACCATGAGCCAAGTATCAAGTTCGTCCCCACTTCTTTGTGTTCTGTAATATTTTTTTATTAAACGTATTATTTATACTGGTTTGCATTTTTGATTTGGTCCCACACACAGAAGCGTTCCCGTACACAAAGCTTAGGGGAAGGTCGAATCATTATTTTTCTACTTGTTATTCAGCAGCAGGTTGTATCTTTAATGATATTTTCTTAACCCCAAAAATGTCTCTTGTCTGTCTGCAGCAAAAACAAACATTTCAATCCAGTAGTTCTCCAGTGTTGTGTAGTTAAACATTTTATTTCACCTGAAGACAACATTTAATCTTTTGTTATGTTTGTGGGGTATCTTTACGTCCCTCTGGATAACAGTTAAAAGATTACATTATTCCTTGTGATATTTGCACAGGGCATCATGTGCATCACGGAGGACTGAGGCTGGAGCTTTTCTTATTTAATGTCACTGTGCAGCACTTTGAACCTCAGTGTTTTAAATGTGCTTTATGCTGAAACTAAAAGTCACTTCACTTGCCTTTTATATGCTTGTGTTTTATATGCATTTATGGGCCTCTGCATTTCCCTACATCAGTGAATGCTTTATAAACCATGGCTGCAACATATATTTTTAAACTTTCATTTTATATTCTCCACAACAAGCTACGGTGAAGTTATTTCTTCAGTTTTATTTTCCTTTTATACTTTTCACCATTATTATGGTGCTACTTGCATTGCATGTCAAAATATATGCAAATAAAGTCAGAATCTGAAACATTCTGCATTTTGCAACATGAAGAAAAAATGGACAAGTGGTGAGCAGCACAAATCAATCAACCAGCTTCTGTCTTCATCAGGGGTGGGGAACCTCTGACCTCCGGGAGGTATATGGCGTGTGATACTTTTTGATCCACCATAGGAAGCGAAGCATACGTACAAACGAAGCAACTCAGAAATAGAAAGAAATCTCCCGACAGTCATTATTTTTTTCTTGCGCCATAGGAAAATAACAGTGGACTAACATGTCCTTCAGGGTGCTGCTGCCTGTCAGATCAGGATGAAAGAAACACAGGCGTGTCGTTGAATGTTGAGAAACCAACAAACTAGTTTGCTGAGTTTGTGGGGACACGGTCGCTCCGATGAAACATGCAAATCTTGATTGGATGGAATTTAAACTCTTCGCTCAACATATAAATGCAAATAATAGAATATTAGGAAGATTTCGAAATGATAACATTGAATTGACTTTCCTGCTGTGGATGCTGGGAAATGTGTTTACTTAGGATGACGACATAAAGCACAGCAGGCTCTCGTTCAGCAGGAAGTCCTCTGGAACACGAGCATGCAGGAGGCAGGACATGAAATATAAACTCTGCTGGGGAAATCACGTATGTAAACATGCTGTGTTTCATCTTCACTGAAATCTTCTACATGGATGACTCCTCTTTCTCAGGTGTTTGTATTGTTCCAGTTAAGTGTCTGTAACATGTTCCAAACGTCATTAACACGTCCCTGCTGTGAATTTTCCTGCTGTATTCTCTCGTGGGCTCACTCTGACACTTTCTGGATGTGGGCTGGCAGCTCAGGTCTGAAAGCAGCTTCTGAGTATCGTCACCTAGAAAGAAGGATGCCCTTCAGTCTGTTTGTCTGATTTTATGTTGTACTGGTGAATCGAAGGCAATTTTCCATCCTTGGCAGAGAATAAAGTCATCATTACAGTATTATGGCATGAGAACTTAGTAAGCACGGAATAATGTGGTAAGGACCACATCTATCTTTGAACTTGATCCATTTCATGACTGAATCTTGCTGAATCCATCCACAGACACATGGAGTCTCTAGATACGACCACATGGATATATTGGTTTGTGCATTTATTTCTGGGTAAAGACAACCCCGCTCAGATTGCTCTGTGTAAGTTGGGCTGCGGCCCTGAGTCAAACTCCATGGCTACAAACTCCATTAGCCTCAGCGTACCCTCATGTTTGGCCTACATTGCTGATAACAAGGCCAAAACACTTGATAACACTAAGGTGCACAACTGAAGTTATGTTCCTAACATCCGCTGGTGCCGCTAACACCTGCTGACATCAGCTGGTAGTCGGTAACTTAAATTGTGCTTCAAACGTACAAGGGGTATTCACCATCTTGCCCTGCATTCTAAAATGCCCCTCCCAGCCCTGGTATCTCTTCTGTGCAGCAAGCTTTCTATTATTGTGCCAGACGGCGTTGAGGTCGGCAGATCATGGTTCAGATGCTCAGAAAACATTTTTTTATAGTTTAAAAGCAGACAACTATATATATTAAAAAATACCTCAGAGGACATTTAACAGAAAAAAATCTGTAATTTACATTTTTTTCTCATAAATGAGACAACCTCTGTATTTTAAGGAACAAACAAGCTGAATATAAGTGGGTAGTGGGTGGAAAAAATGAAACAAGTGGAAGGTGCAGGAAAAACTTTCATTTATCCACAAGATGGATGACACCGTGCACAGCACCAGCAGTCACCCAGAGTTCCTGGTGGAATAAATCCTGAGGGGTAGAGGCGGTGAAAGCAATGGGCGGTCCCCACTGTGATACTGCATCAAAGTGTTGTAAATACAGGAGTGAGTCCTGGCGCCCATTCATCTATGTGTGAAATCATTCTTAGTTCTGTGTGTGCAGAGAGCAAGAGTTAACGTGAGGGTTGAGCTGTTAAAAATGAAGCTATAGGAGAGATTTAGCACAGAAACCGCAAACAATTAGAATTGAAAATGAAGGAAATCCACCTGCTAATACCTCTAAAGCTCAATAATTAACATGTTATATCTCATTCGTTTAAGCTGCGCAAATCTTATGGGACTGCAAGCCCTCAACTTGAGTTAGAAAAAATGTGTCGATCTCAGTACACAGTCGGTGGATATAACATGTTGATTAGCTTTTTAAGGTTTTGTTAACTTTCTTTCGAGCCACGTAAGAAGCTCAGATAACTGTCGTCTAGCTCCATCTATTTCCAAATCTAACTTTCAGGGAGAAAGCACATGATCGTATTTTCCTCGCTGCCAAAATCTTTGCTTTGAAGAAGTGCCTCGGTTACTTTAGGGTAAAGATCTGTGATGCTGATACATGACACGCGTGACGGTAACGGTACAGCTGCAGTCACATTAGTTACAGGAACGATGACTTTAATGAAATTTCGGCACATATCAATCAATGGCTTCATATGTACAATTGTCACGTGAATGATCTGACATAAGGCATTTCAAGTATCGAAAAACAACCAACTGGTTTCACATTTTTGGTGATTTAATCCGTCTCAGGTTAGCTGACATGTTAATGACCGACAGGAGTCATTAAAGAGGTGACCAAAGGCAAACTAGTACCATACAAACAAGTGGCAAAATGTACAGTATCAAGACACACAAGCTTTAATTTGTAAAATACCTCTCCCACAATGCATCTGTTTTGTCTTCACGTCACGCCCGAGAACTCAAAAGTTCGGCTGCGTTGTGTTCTTGTGGGTAAGAAGAGGAACGATCAACAATGCATTCGGGAATTGAATGATCGATAATTCACCACCACCACAAATAGAGTTGTTATGTACACGAGAAATGACAAACAATGTATGTACAATATTTTTCCTCTTAGAATTAAAAAAAAGAAAGAAAGGAAATCCTGAGGGCTGTCAACCACTGTTCCGTCTTCTCCTTCCTTCTTGTCCCCGTGTCCACCACGAATTCCTCTTCTGTTTGTCGCTTCCCATCTGTCTCACGTAATGTGTGAGGGGGGACGTCAGCTGCCGTCCAGACATAAATCCAAATGCAGACATTCGTGTTCCATCTCACAGTTAGAAAGAAATGATGAAACTAAACTCATTACAAGGTTATGATGAAGTTCCCCGCAGGCGGCTTGGAGCGTCAGTATTTTCAGAAGCCTGGAGAACGATGTGCTCGATGCATTCTACATCTTTTTTTTACACTTGAATCTGAGAAGTGTTCACATTTCTCAAAGCAACAATAAGTTCATTGTCTTCGTGGTAATTGGTCCTGAAACGAAAAAGGAGATTTGCGTTTAGAGGAAAGTAAATATCACAGAAATTAGTGTAAATCATGTGTTTTGCCCTTTAAAAAACTTAGTCATTAAGCCAGTTGAGCGAAATTAACAAGCAGACCAGCGTTCCAGTATAAATGAAGAGGCTGACCTGCAAATTAACTCTTGCACCAGAGGCATTTCCCTGCATCCTCTCTCCACAACGTGTTAATAAGTTGATGTTGTGTATGGCTGAGTGTTCTGACAAGAAAAGGGAAGCAGGAAATCGAGGGGTTAGAGGGCGTCGTTAACGAGTCAATTTGCGGTGAAATTCAATCTCTATAAATATGCTGTTTTGTTGATGCCGCGGCTCGTGTCACAGCGCTGCTGTACATCTCTACCCCCACTGTTCGACTGCGGCGCCTCGTTTCCCGCGGTCAAGAGAGGTTATCTTACCCTCGTGGTTTTGATCTTGTTGCCGGCGTAGCACATCCAGCCCGAGTTGTCAGGGAGCGTCTTGCATTCCTCCCCCTCCAGGCAAGGCTCCATCTCACACCACCACTTCCCAATTACTATGGATGCTACAGGCAACAAAGACAAGAGAAATGGTGATGCTGGTACCCTTCGCCCTGACGGGGTGCGGAGCCAGATAGCACGGCCCAGCAGTCCACAGACCGATGGCCATTAGGTGCAGGTGTCTACGCATGCAATAAAACACATTATGTCAGAGGTGGCAGTAAATAACTAGGCTCCGTGTGTCACATGTACATGTTTCAGATAAAAATGTTTCTTATTACCAAGCTGTTTCTTTATTAAGGGCAGTATATATTGTAGAATGCAGAGGTTGGAGCCGAGGCTTTCAATTAACTGAGTGGATCAGTAAGTGTGACTGTGACTTGACTTTAATGTATGCCACATTTCTGCCAACCGGAGAGAAAATTGCCTTAACTACAGGGTAAGTAGACAGCGAATTGTTTGTAATGTGTGATAGCGGAAAAGAATCTGTCAGAGCTGACACTGAGAGACCTCAAATTCCCTCCGCCCGCTCGGAGATTGCAGTAATATTTGCAAAAGGATTTAAGATAAAAGCTGGAGGTGAGAGGTTTTACAAAAACCACACATTGATGCGTGAGACCCGAGCACCCAATCCTTTTCTTACAAGGGACTGAACCTGTGTTTCAGACTTTTGTCAAAGCACAAACCCATCATGGAATAGCAACAAGGCTCCTAAGTAATCAGCAGCCATTTTATTCTGCACTCTCTTTGCCTTATGCTATTCTTTATTTTTTCCCTCTTCCCTGAGGTGCGTCTCATTCAGTAGTTGTATTTGGCTGTGTGCTGCTGCTGGAGTAAAGCTTTCCCCTGCAGATACCTTCCGCTGTCTGTCAGCAACAGAATTTGGATGTGACATTATCCCAGGTGCTGTTAATCTTATCTGGGACGAGGAATTGCACGGGTGCCTGTTATTTTAACAAATCTCTGTATCTTTACAAAAGACTCGTCTGGGAGGATTTTTTATTTTTCTGAACAATACAGTACATGTTCAGCTGAATTAAATACAAAAATGGAAATCGTTCTTTTCCTGCAAGGCAAGCACATCGAAAATAAATGTTTTTCCTCCTGCAAACTCATGACAGCATCGTAGGAAAACGTCCTTTATCTGTTTTTTTTACTCACCGTCAACACATGAAGGTCTGTTCCTGGTGGTTCCAGCCACCTTCCCTGGCAGACAGGAACACTTGACCGTCTGTGACCGTTCCTCGATACGATTCTTATTACAGCATCTGTGAGCAGCAATTACTTCACATGTGCCCCCCTCTGATAAGAACAGAAACACACACACACACACACACACACACACACACACACACACACACACACACACACACACACAACACACTACATTAAGTCAACATCTCAGGGGTCATACACAGTAACACTTTGCTTTCTGAGCAAATCATTTTGTGGACATTTGTGGATTAACACAGACTGTTATCATTGCCGGGGCCAAAATAATCACATTTACTGAGATACTGCACTCAACCTCTTACCCTTTTCTCAAGCCCCAGGTTAAAATGACGTGCCTACAATATAGAATAGAATAATAGAGCATATCTCTGCAATTACAATGTAGTTTTTCTCAGGACCCAGGTTCAAATGGCATGCCAAAGATATGGAATTGGATAAAATAGAATATAATAATTAATTATATCTTTGTTTTATGTATAATATTGGTATCTATATGAAGGTATATAAGGGTAACACGTGCAATTTCTGCAGAAGCATGGTAAACACTGTGTGGCATGACCTGAAGAAGTTTTTAACTCATCTATGGAGTGGATCCAGATACATGTTTGGATCCAGGAACTTTTCTTCAACATGGTGAGATAGGTGAGTTAGCCTTGGCAGAGCTATGCGATCTCCCGTGTACCGTTCTTGCTACGATTGCTGGTCGGACAGAACAGGACAATTAAAGATGATTTCTGACAAATGGTTTTTCCGCTGTTTTTTGTGACTGAGCAAGAAATAAAACTTGTCCAGTTTCACATGTAAGTGAGTTGTCATTACTGCTTAAATCATCTAATATGTCACAAAAAGGCAAAGACTATCAAACTAAACAAAGTTTGATAGTGAAAACTAAAACTAGCTCCTAGTTGAAGCAGCTACAAAAGTAATATGCTGTTTACAAATTGTATATTTGTAAATTGTACTGTACACAGTGTCGTCAATCAAGAGTCATAATATATCAGTCATACTTTTGCTTGCCTCGAGTACATTTGGGTGACTTTTCAATTAAAGATATGTTTTCCATTGTTGTACCGATACTGAAAACATCTCAATACTTTCACCACTCACCATCATGTAATATTTCTGCCCATGATTCTTTTGAAAACTATCTCACAGGTCTGCTGTAAACAAGAATAATTATCTGTGTGCTTTTACTCTGCAGACGAGCCCCCTGCAGCTTGTTGAATGATAAATGATGATGAAGAGACGTGTGAGAGCAGAGGAGAAAAAGAGACGTCTATTAGCAGGAGGAGAGGCCTGCTTCAGGGTTATCATGAATATGAACACTGGCTCCACCACGCAATTATCACCAAACTGCTGGCTGTGCCCTGAAGGACGAGGGGACCGGACTGGACTCGACCCACCTCGACCGCTGGCCTCTCCCACCCACTGTGCTCAGACTCTCCACATGTGAGGGCTGAGCAGCAAAGGACCGTCTGACAATTACACCCGTCAGCATGACACAAGATCAAGGAGGTTGAAGAGAGAAAGAGCTAAGAGGGAGAGAGAGAGAGTGGGGGGAGGGGGGAGATCTGGTATATTGCAAGCAAAGTGATCCGAAGTAATGTTTGACAATGAGCTGTGGGTTTGTGAAATGTGTCATGGCTAGATTTGCATATATCACTTTAACCGCATTTGAATATTTTGGATTTTGAGGCCCTCCTCATGCACAGCAGTTTCTTAGATGCAAAAAGCGCAGCCGTGCACGTTGTGTTGAGAGAAAACCTGGTGTGGTAAACAACATCCAATCACCACAGTTCAAGAAATTATCATTCAAACAATGTAAAACATCAACCTTTAATTTAACATCACCGCATTACAACAATAAATAACATACAGTATCAAAGTCAACTCATTAAGCTGCTATACAAACAGAAGATTAATTACTGAATACATATTATTTCACAGTTATTGTCATAGATAATGATGTGTTGAGCTTAAGCAATTAATTAATTGATTAGTTGGTCAACAGAAAATAACTTTTGGTAATTCATTCATCATTTTACTTCTATGCACCAACAAATATTTGCTGGTTGCAGTTTCTTAAATGTGGGTGTTTGCTGCTTCTCTGAGTTTTATATCAGTTAGAATAAATCACCTTTGACAGTTAAGAGATTTCTTTTCACTCCCCTTTCCTCTAATAGACTGATTACTAGATAAATTAATTAATTATAGAGATAGATTAATAGACTATTGATCATAGAGATAGATGAATAGATGATTGATTATATAGATAGTTTATTTATTATAGAGATAAATTAATTATAGATAAATTAATTAATTATAGAGATAGATTAATAGACTATTGATCATAGAGATAGATGAATAGATGATTGATTATATAGATAGTTTATTTATTATAGAGATAAATTAATTATAGATAAATTAATTAATTATTATTGGAAAAATGCTAATTTCAGTTGCTCATGAGATTGTGTCCAGTGTTCAGATAACTTGATTTATTCAGCCAATAGTCCATGTTTTGAATTATTACTAGAAATAAATGTATTATTCTCTCAACTACTAAACTGATTAAGTGCTTATAAAAACAATTGCTAATTAATTTCCTGTTGCTCCACTAATCACCTAATCTACGAATTGTTGCAGCTCTAAAAGGCTTTTTAAAAATCATTTAATAATCACTGTACAACTATATTAAAGTTAATTACAACCTTTTGGGCTGGAAGTGTTTCATGAACGCTGGATGAGTTGGGCTTAAATAAAGTTTGATCTCTCTTTGATTTGCAAATGTGAACAGGTCTTTTGGGATTACAACAGTAAGGACGCAGCAACTTTTCGGAGAAGCCGGTTTTAGCGTTGTACAGGCAGCTGCATTTTGTAAAATACTGTATTTGTTCAAACTATAAGCCATAAAGTAGCTTAAACTCAGACAGAAGACAGAAAGTAACGTGTCAGTTTCCAGATATAATTGAACCATCATGTGAGCTCCTGTGGGGATTAACCAACTCACAGCCCCACTTGACCCGCTGGATGGAAGTGAATCACCGCGCCCGCCTCACACTTGAATCTTTTGCTTCAACTGCACTGAGTTAAAAAACGATCATCAGCTTCTCTTATGTGCATAAAACCTCAGAGAGAAGACTAAGAATTCACTGAACTTGACAATTCTTCATCCGGGGATCCTGTGTTTCTTCGGAGTGGAAATACAGAGTGTGTTCAGCATTTGCTTGTGATGACGAGTTTAATTAATATGGATGAATGATGTCATCTTCAATGTAATCTTCAGCCACTAGGGGGTCACTTAATCAAAACAATAACAAAAACATAGTTTGATGACGTTGGGAAGCAGCGAAGAATCATGGGAGTTGATGTCTCACCACCATTTCTTTCCCCATAATCTTCTTGGGTCGCTTGGTTCCCCTGTGCAATTGCGGTTTTTACTGGGACACAAAAAACAATCCTGATCCGTTAAGAGCGACTGATACAAACAGTGAAGGAAAGAAAAGCCGACAGGCTAACTGTTGTTTCTCCTTCGTCATATTCGTTGTTTTCCCCAGACGTCACAGCAGAGATGGTCAAAGCTGCGGGTAAAGTCCTGTTATCTT